AAAAATTGACAAAACTTTAAAAGTTTTGCTTGAAAAACTCAAAAATGTCAATTTACATGGTAAAGATTTGAACCATCACCAATCAACCGATAACTAATCTACAAACACAACTATACTAGTGCACTGGCAGTGATTATTTATCACATCTTGACACAAAAATTCATAAACCATTTTAAATTTGTAAAATTTCGATTCTATTTGATTTTACGATTTTAGGATTTTACTGTTTCGAGTTTGTAGAATCACAATTTTAACTTCGATTTTACATGAATTGCATAGGTAAAATCGTAAAATCATAGTAATTTTGACAACCATGGTTCTGACTTTTAAAATTGAATGATACTTAAAGAAAAGGGTAATTATTTTGGGAGGAAAAGAGTAATATATTTGGGTAAAAAAAAAAAAAAACTAGAAATACATTTTTGTTTGCTGTAAATCTGTCACCTAGGGTGTCATGTTTCATGTGGATGGGTGAAAGTTATATTATAGATTCATTAATTCTAGCAATTTGAAGTTCTTAAATTACTCTGTAATATTATTAAGAAACCGGTACTAGAAGCCAACTCTTCTTTCCCTCGCATACATAATGTAATCACTTCCCTTTTTTAGAGGGTAGAATGATCGTGAGTGATTTTGAAATTATATAAATTTGACAGTATTAAACTTAAAAACACCATACCTACTACCAATAGAAATTATCTTTTAAGAAACATTTAATTTTTAGTTGTAGATATTTTCAAAGTTGACATCAGAAAAGTACAAAAATATACATGAAATTAATTAAACACTACCAATAAATTAACAGAAAAAAATTTATTAATAATATTTTTATAGGTATCTTACACCTTTTTTTACAAATCACGCGAAAAACAATTTTTTTTTTTTCAAGTCACTATCTATTTAAATAAAGATGCCACTTTATGATGTATCACTAAAGTGAAAGGAGTTTTTTTTTTTATCATCTTAATTATATAATAAAAGATAATCATATCTTATTTTTTTATCTTATTCAATCCACATAACATACGATTTGAATTCAAAGTTTTTTACTTCTAATATAAAAAAATAATCACTAAATTATTTAAATTATTAACTTAATGAGAAATTCTTTTAATCATAAAAAATATTAAGCATTGTGTAACTTCAAGATAATTTCAAAATATATAATAAATTTATTCACAAAGAGCCTACTCCTGCCAGTTATATATAGGAACCATTATTAAATTAAATTCAAAACCAATGTGTTATTAATTAGAAGCCGAATTGCCATTCCAGTCACCTTTTTCCTACAAACCTGAGCTTTATGAATCAACACCCACTTCGGCATGCGAAGAAAAATCCACCCACATCTAATTGAATCACTTGAAAAATAGCCCACTAACTTATGAAAGAATTAAACCAACAGATATTGAATTCAAGGTGTAAGTATGTAAGAGAGGTGTATAAAAAAATAAAAGAAAGTTATCACACTTTATATAATCTAAAATTAAAGGTGAAGTTTTTGTTTTTAGAATATATTATTTTATATTTTAAATTGTTCATAACTATACGTAAATTACTCTTCTGTTTTTTTTTTTTTCAACCAATTAACAGGGAGGCATCGAAATTTTTGACACCAGAACACAAAATGAAACTCTTAAAACGCATCGAGAGATCTAAGTACCTGGAATAAGAGAATTTAATGGATTTCTCTTCAATATTTCAAATACAATCTGTCCCTATTTTACCCGTACCCTTCTCCGGCGAGAAGAAAGATATTTCCACACGGCTCCCCCTTTTCCTTTTACATTTCCTTTTACACTGCACATATTTATAGCGAATAAGTGCAGCCCTAGAGTGACATAATTATTAGTAAGATTACAATTTTAAAAGTAGATATTTTCTTTCTTAAAAAGAGGAGGTAAAAAGCCTCTTTTTTTTTAAAGATTTAAATTATTAACTATTAAGATGTTTCTTTAATAAACAATTAAAATTACGAACCTGGCTCAGTGACTCTAATTATTCTTGTAAGGTTCATATCTCACTCTTCAAAAGCAATGGTTTGAACCGATCCCATAACTAAAATATTCAAAAAAAAAATTAAAATTGCAACTTTTTTTTTGCCTTAATTAAAATTACACAGCTATAAAAGAATCCTCTTTGGAATGAATGAATTAAATCTCCAGCTTTGGTAAAAAAATAGACAATCATGCATTTTGAGCGAAATTTGGGCAAAATTGAGGAGCACATGCATTGTTTGTTAGGTGATGTCTCATTGAAAGATTTTTTGGCAGTCTTTATTTATTGTAAATTCTTATGACCTAATATGACATGGTAATAAGTTTTATTGTTTTTTATTTAATAAAATATGTGAATTAATATATTCTTTCTGTTGAAGTAATGTGATCATTATAAAGATTTTGTAACTAACAAAAACATTATCCAATGAATCACTTGTGATGAAGAGAACATCGTGCTTCCTAAAATTGTGTTATCCACTTGTGTTTTCCTTCTACATAGAGCAGATAGAAAGATTTAAATTTGAAATTGCAATTAATTATTGGATCATTATCTTGTTCACGATCAGGCTGGGAAAAAAAAAGTCTCACCGACAAAGATTATAGCATTGAGCGTGTAAATATTAAATTACTCTTCACTTTTCTTCATAAATTGAAAAACTTCTATGACAAATACACTCTATTTTCTCATGTAGTGCTATAAAGATAATTTTTTTATATCATATTTTAATATAATTTTTGTATGTCATTAAATGAATAGATGTATTTAATATCACGGGTTTCACATAAATTAAAAGAACAAATCATTTAAATGATACATTAGATTGTACAAAAAAATAATATAAAAAAATTATCCCAAAATCATTTTCCTTGTTATCCCTACACTATATTTAAAGTGAGGGAAATTTGTAATAAAGAAAAGATGAGATTTCATACATTTAAAGACATAATTTTTTAAATTTTTTAAAATTAAAAATATGATTTTTTTTCCTTACTAATTAAAGTTTCTTATCTTTTAAAAATTTCTAGTTAATGATGTGATTTTTTTATTTTACTTAAAAAGAAGATTAAGTTGATGTGTACACTCACTAATCTTACAACTTTCATTTATGGGCCCACTTTTCTTGCTAATGTATTTAGAAATAGATAGCATGGAGATGACTCGGACAAGAATTGAGAAAAAAAAAGTGAAACACATAGATGGCTGGGCTCTATTTCTTTTGAAAAACAAACTTAAACAATTGCCACGTGCCCTTTTTTCTTTATTCTCATTTTTTTGTCCAAGTCATCATCTCTGCCATTTGTTTTAAAACATATTAACAAAAAATAAAAAAAAGTGAGGCTCCAATTGAAATTTGTTAGATACATTAACTTACACATCTAGTTAATTTCTTTAAATAAAATTACAAAGTCATATCTAGAAACTTTTAGAAGATAAATAGCCTTGATTAATGTGAAAAAATATTATATCTTTAGTTTAAAAAAATTTAAATTTGTAATTTTATTTATACAAAATCTTTAAAAAAAAATTTCCAACCAATGAAACAAGTGGTTTTTTCTCTTTTTGTTCATCATCTAATTAGAGGAAAGTAATTTCATTCCATTTCTGTCGATCCAAGAATGGGCATACAACCATACCACTGAAAAAAAACCGGAAGAGCCAAAGACATAGTTGGAGAGTAAAACAATGAGGAGCTGTGGCGGCAGCTCAGCTAACTTTTTGACTAACATCATCGTTCATCACGTTTACACAAATTCCACTCTGGGCTTCCAAACTAATGATCGATTCTTTTAATTTCTGTCTCTCTCTTTTGTCCTCTCTTTTCTCCTAAAAAACATAATTACTCTAATTTTATG